AGCTGCCGAGTGCAGCACCGTACTCCTATACTCGTCCTTCTTGTTCACGCGCTTGTGGAATCTAGGCCGCCAGCTCTTTTTTGCCACTATAGCTTCTATCCATGGTATGATTTCCAAAGTGCATGCCAAATGTAGCAAAGGTAGAGCCTCACGTTAGTATCTTGTCATCCTATTGTAAGTCACCCACTAGTGTATGCGCAAAGAAGACTCTTTCTGCAAAAAAAATCTATGAGGGTTAAAGAGCTTTGCTGCAAGTGCAGAATAGCTCTTCGCGTGCTTGGGCTAGTGGAGCGTGGCATATCGCAACAGAGGAGCCTCTTTAGGGTCTAGCTTACTGTCTAGATTGATAACTCTATGTCGCAAGTCGCTCTGCGCAATATAGTTAAGACACTTCTGCGCCAGCTCTAGGTGCGCGCTTTCTAGGTTAAGTCGGAACGCCTCTAGCACTGCATCGCTGTCGCGCTCTGTGCGCAGCAGATAGTCTCGCACCGACTGGTGGACAAGACTAACCTCCTGCTCTTGTACCTTTAGCAGAGGCCTGCACAGAGTAATAGCTTCACGAGTCGCTTGGTCTACGGTTAGTCGAGAGGAGGAGGGTCGGACGCCTGTCGCCGCTGCTAGCTCTCGCAGGTGCAGAGGGCGAGCGGCCATAGTCACCCACTGCAAGATCGTCCGGCTCACCTCTCTCTTCTTCGCTGGGATCCGCAGGAGCATGCGGCTGTATATCGCCGAGAGGCCGCTCGGCATCTCTTTGAGCGTCTCCAAGATCTCACCGCACGTCTGCTTCTGTGACAGCTCATCCATTACCAAACCCACCCACAGAAACGTCCCCTCAGCGCGCTCGAGTAGGTCTTTCTGCACAGATACTCGAAAGTCCTTAAACCCTTCGATCCTCGACAACTCCCGCACTCGGGCAGACACGAACAGCTCAATGTCGCTAGCTACCTTCTCGTCGTTGTCAGGGTCTAGTCTCACCCTCATCGTGCAGTCTCGCAATCTAAGCAGATCTCGGCTGACTATCGCTAGCTTAAACGTGCCCTCGGTTGACGGCGAGTCCTCGCTAGTAAGTAAGCTAATAAGCCGTGGTAACAGCACTTCTAGCGTGCTCTCCTCGCACTCGTCGAGGCCGTCAAGCACGCAGAACATCGTCCCAAGCTCGTCGTCTGCGACAATATTTTTGAAGATGATCCACAGCGCCTCTAGCGATGATAGTGTCTGCTTTATCTGTGCGCGCGTCTCAAAGTATGGCAGCGCGTGTCTAATTAGCTGCGGTCGCTTGGTGATGATCTGGTGCACAAGTCCACGTAGCACAGCAATGCTGGTGTTGCGCTCCTTGTCTTTGGCGCTGTAGAAATAGAACACCAGTTCTGCGTCTTCTCTACCGGCTGTCTGTCTCTCGAGCTCCTCAGTCAGGAAGACGGACATCATTGTCTTGCCCTTGCCTGGCCCGCCCGAGATCCACAGCGGGCGCGTGTTGCCGTCGCCGTTCAGCCAGGCACAATAGCTCTCATTGTGCGTGATCCACTCGCAGGTGCCTGCGACTCTCTTGCCTTTCTCGCTGATGACCTTCTCGCGGTCGATGTAGGGATCGGTGAGGAAGAGGTCTTTGCGGCACTTGCTCGCCGCTTGCTCAAAGGCTTCTGTTGGGTACCCGCATTAGCGACTACGTAGCGCCAGGGATAATTAGAAATATTGCAGAAGGGTAAAAAAGACAACTGGACACACTTTGGGGGTCTTCTGATCTTGGAACAATGTAGTAGATGTCCCTAACGTTGCCCGCAACGGCGAGTGAGTTCTTCTGAGCGGAGACCCTATCGATGTTCTGTTGGTGGGGCAAAGGCCTCTCTTGCATTTTCCGAGCGTGAGCGTGATGCTGGATTGCTCGTTAGAAAAGCGGGCATGCACCTTATAGTACGGGGCAGGACTAGTCCCCGACATAAAGAATAGGGTGTTGCCGTCGCGTGTAGGCGGCGATGTCTACAAGCGTCGTAGTACGGCTGCAGCGATAGGGAGCGGCTGAGGAGCGGCTGAGGCAGTCTTCATTTTGTTGCCTTTCCTCTACCAGTATCCTGCATCCCGCAGCGTCTCTCAGCCAGTAATGCATGCTGCAAAGCTATCAGTGCGTACAGACAACCAGCTTTGTTATTCTACTCTCGCTAATTGTCGCAGCCTATACAAGGCTGCAGAAGCAATAACTTCAGCTGAGCCAAAGTAACAAGCCACAGTAATGGCAATAAGGATGTACTACCTGAACAAGAAAAAGCAATAGCTATAGTTACACCACACATAAATGAAGATGGTAGATAGCAGACACAATACAGATCAATTTTTCCCACACCCACGCGTGCAATATTAATCAATATACTTGGAACACGCAGCTTACAAAGCTTAGAGAATCTGCCTTTGGCTGCTATACGACTCTGGGTGCACGGTGTCCAATCTGCAAACGACACGCCAGCTCTCAGCCGCAGCTGAGCCATGCTGATAAGCCACATGCGCCTATAGGCAACTGCCTTCCTCCGCTACAGCATATAAGGTGATTCATTGAGAGATACCAAACTAAACTGTATTCACTCGACTTCGTCTACCAGTCCGTTCATTGACAGTCGGACTACAGTCATAATCATTGCACTTTGTACTTGTATCTACTAGAATGCATTAGCGGTTATCTACTATCTTTATCTGGTTGTTGGCAAAAATGGCTGGTGGAACTACAATACCAATGAAAGTTGAAGACCATGTTGAACAGGCAATGCACGCAGCTATTGCAGAGCAAACGACGTCTAATGTGTATGTTTCCCTAGTCAAAACATCACAATCTATACTTAATAACGCATATTTACAGGCTCACCGCTCTTGAGATGCGCTGCAATAGCGATAATGCGCAAGGTCGAGGCTAATAGAACGAACAGCTAGCTGAGACGCCAGACGTGTGCGATATAGCAGCAGATACCTGCCAGAAAATTACAAATGCACGGGCAGACAACAAGGGCCTAGTCGTTGCTGGATTTATCAATGCATCAGCAACTATACCCCAGCAGGAACTATACGATATCTGTGCAGATGGTGGAGGATCTTTAGCGGCGGCAGGAGTGGTCAACTCATTTGATCAGCAAGAGCTTCTGGAGACAACGGCGAGCAAGCAGGCGGTAGGGAGCCAAGTAATTCGCGGCGTGCATGCGACAGGCGGTAGTAATATTCGAGCAGGCTATATAAACGCAAAAGAGCAAGACTACCGACGCAAACAAGAAATTCTGGGCATCAACGCACACTGAGGAAGTGAAGTAGTAGCTGGGGTAGTAAGGAACCTCACTCTCTACCAGCGATCAGCCATTGGGGACTCTGGAAACGACACTTGACCACTGAATCAGTATTAGGAACCAGGCACTCCGCTGTCCAAGAAGCAGACACCAGGAACCAGCCGTCTTGATCTCCCTGGCCCTCGCGACAAAGCTGTAGAAGCGTACAGCAACTGGCAGCAATCTAAGGTAGGGGATTAGACGCTAAAGCTTGAGTTTCAGAAGGCTTGCGCTGCGATATTGCAGGACGGGCTGGATCTAGAGCAGGTGCTTGAGGACCAAGACGCTGACTTCTTTATCCAGAGCGGAGTTAAGTGGGGAGTAGCACGTCAGTTCATCAGAGACATTGAACTGTGGGCTGAGCAATACAAGTCAGAATACATTGGGGAGTAGGAAGCGTAGGGTAGGGCGTAGTGTCGCTTGTAGATCACTGCTATTCTTGAGAGATACATCATCGGTTTGCTTAGACGTGGAACAATTGTGCCATTAGATTTCTATCGCATCGCTTGCGCGTTTGTGAAAATTCTTCACCTACGAGTTAAAAGCTCGCTCACTTTACTTGTAAAAAGACACTTAGCATTGCTAGTAGTTAGTTAACATTCTTGTTTTTGTCAGGGTCTATAGTAGTTTTGTTCTCGCGTACTAGCACAGACTAAGGAGTCCCCACCTCACGATAACTAATCTGATCGTTGCTATACTGCTTGGTATATCTCGAGTTAAGCTCTAGGGAGAGTATAGGTTGACGATGCGCAGTACTAGCGCTCTAAACGTGTGTTTGTAACATTCGTAGGTCCGTCGAGCGCAAAGAACATGTCTCTAAGCTCAGCGTCTGCAACCAGCTTGCTGAATATTACCTACATTTTCTTAAGATATGAAAAAGCGTGCTGCGTCTTCTAAGACGTCTTGAAGTGCGACAGCGCGTGCTTAACCAGCTACAAACGCTTGGTGCTGATCTAATGCACCAGCCCGCGAAGTACAGCTATAGGTGTGATGCACTTCTCTTCCTGAGCGCTGTAGAAGAAGAACACTAGCTCTGCACCGTCTATGTGCGCTGTGTGCCTCTCTAGCTGCTCTGTTAGAAAGACGGACAGCATCGTCTTATCTTTGCCTGGGCCGTCCGAGATCCACAGCAATCGCCATAATTATTCAGCCCAGAGTGATAGCTTACGTATAATCTACTCGTATATGATCGGAATTCTCGTGCTTTTCTTGCTAATTACGCTCTCGCGGTCGACGTGGGGATCGGTAAGGAAGAGCGCGTTGCGGCACTCGCTGGCGGCACTCTTCGACGCGTCTGCCAAGTATTGTTGTTAGTGGTGGATGATAGATGCGACAACTATGCAACATGTCTTGCGAGTCCTCGCGACCTGAGATATTCACGTCTCTTGTCGAGTTAACAAAGGTTTGTGAGTCTTTCTGTGTGGAGATGCTGATGTGCTGATGGTAACGTGTCCGTGCACCTCATGCACNGATTCATCTCGTGCACGCCGAACACCAAACGCGCGTCTCAGCGTCATAACTTCAACGCGCTATAACTCAACAACCATGGCTCCAATTAACGATGCGATTGCAGATTTAGAGTCACAAGAACCTAGAGAAAAACTTATATTAGCAGAGTTTGCGAGGAAATNGGGTGTCAGCCGCGCAACTCTATCGCGGAGGTGGAGGCGCGTAACAGGGCCTAGGAGCAATGGATACGCTTAGCAGCAAGCTATCAGCCCACAACAAGAGCTAGAGCTTGTAAGATATATTAAAACGCTTACAGAGAGAGGCCTTCCTCCTACGCGAGAGATGATCAGGAATTTCTCAT